GATACCTGCTGGGGCTCCAGGGCGGGGCCAGACGTGGGGGGCTCCTCCAGGTGCTCAGCCTGGGGGGCCACAGGGGCTGGCCTGGCAGGCGAGGGCCCCGGCGAGTGATAGGTAGGCGCTATGGGCACCACCACCCGGGTGCTGGCCTGTCTGGGCCCCACAGCCGGGAAGCCAGGGGGCGGCCTGGGCACAGGGGCCGCCTCCGGCCAGGGCTTGGCCACCTGGGCCCCAGTAGGAAGAGGGCGGATGTGGGCGACCGGGACCCGGGGCTGGGTTCCAGGAGGACAAGGGGCTGTGTCTCGGGCCTGGCTGCCAGACCCCCCATCAGGGGCCATCGGGGGAGGCTCAGGGGCCCCGGCCCGCGGGGATGGCACCAGCTGGATGTGCACCCGGCTGATGTGGGTGTCCCCCACCGCGGGTGCTGAGACGCGGGCAAAGCCGCTGGGTCCCCGGGCTGGGGCCGGGGTTGTGAGCAGGGGCCCCGGGGCCGTGCGGGGAGAGGTTCGGCTCCTGTGCGGGGGGAAGCTGAGGGCGAGCGTGGACTTCTGCAGGGGCGAGGGCACACGGCGGGTGACGGGGGCGTGGGGGGCGCAGGGCAGGGTGGCCGCCGTGCTTGGGGCCTGGGTGGGGTGTGGGGCTGTGGGCTCTTGGTCGTGGCTGGCCTCGCTCACGGGGGACAGGGAGGTGCGGAACGCCCCTGTGGGGGCCGAGGGCCCTCCCCCGGCCCCCCTTTTCCGGGCCGCCTTTCTCAGAAGCTTCTGCAGAACCAGGTTGTCCTTGCCGGGCTTCGGTAGCAGGGGCGGTGGGGGCGCAGGGGGCCCCTGGAGGCACAGGCCCACGGCTTCAGGGGGCGTCGAGGCAGCAGAGATGAGCATCGTGGCACTCTGGGTGGGGAGAGACAGCCGTCAGCCAGCCCTCCTCACCCCCGGTGTCCCCCCTGCCCCCCGTGTCTGGAAGGACCACCAGGGCCCGGCTTCCTAGCCCTGGGCCCCCGCCAGGTGCGCTCTAGGCACGTCTGCCTGCATCAGCAACTCTGTGTGGGCGGCTGTGCCGTCACCCGGCTTAGGAATGAGCCCACAGGGGCCCCGTCGCCGGTGGGTGATG